CAGCTTCCCACCAAAGACAGATGGCCAATCTGAGAGGACCATCCAGACCCTAGAAGATATGCTAAGAGCATGTGTCATGGATTTTAAAGGGAACTGGGATAGGAAGTTACCTTTGATAGAGTTTTCCTATAACAACAGCTATCACACGTCAATAGGAATGATACCTTTCAAAGCTCTATACAGAAGAAAATGCAAGTCCCCAATTCATTAGTATGAACCTAGGGAGAAGCATATAGAAATAGTATACTTTATCAAGAGAACCACAGAGGATGTGAGACTTATCACAAGGAGGTTCGATACAGCTCACAGTCGCCAGAAGAGCTATGCGGATAAACGCTGCAGACATATAGAGTTTCGAGTAGGAGACTTAATTCCCCTGAAGGTGGCACATATGAAATGAGTAATGAGATTCGGTAAGAGAGGGAGACTCAGCCCAAAATACATCTGACCAGTTGAGATCCGAGAGAGGATCTGTAAAGTCGTGTACAGACTAGCTTTGCCGCTAGAAGTGGCTACGGTACACAACATCTTTCACGTATTGATATCGAAGAAGTATGCGATAGATCCATCACAAATATTGCACTAGGAACCTGTCGAAGTGCACGCAGTTCAGATCCTAGCTCGCGAGGTGAAAACCTTAAGCAATAAATTAATTCCTCGAGTTAAAATCTTGTAGTGAAATCATAATATTGAGGAAGCTACTTGAGAACGCGAATAGAATATAAGGAAAAGCTACCCCGAGTTGGTCTAATTTTCGGGATGAAAATTCTTAAGGGGGGTAGAATGTAATGACTCAGAAAATCCCAGACCTTAAAAAATATAATTTACGTATTTAAGCCAAGGATTTTCCTAGAAAATATTATATGACTAAAGGATTTATGGAATTAATATCTGTATTCCTAAATTCTGTAGCAGATTTCATGTTCAGTTCATGTTTTTTATCAAGTAAATTCGATCGATAAATTCTCACCGTACTTTAAGGTAAAATAATTTTCAGTACAAGTATAGTTTGAGAATCTTAATTTCAATAATCTCTAAGCACAGCACGATGTTAGCAGCGTATAAAAAACGCACTGACATTTTTAAAGAAGAGAAAATCCTTAATTGCCAGACAGCTAGGTTAAAGTCGCAAGATCAATACCCATAACAGAAGGGTATAACGTGAGCTTGGGAGTTGACACCGTCAGAAACAACGTCATTCCTGGGATAGAATGCAGAAAAGTTAAATTTAGAATTTGTTCAGTCTAGAATTAATTTCAAGACTTTAAACAGTTCAAGATATATACGTGAGTAAGAATTTAATGTGATCTCAAAGTAGTTGAGGATTTAACATTAAACTGTAATTAAGCAGTAGAAAATGAACCGTCAGAAACTAGAATTTCTATCGGCTAAGTACCTCCTTACAATCAGTATGATTTTTATCTGATTCAAAGAAAACTTAAGAGAGTGGACAAAAGTACAAGGGGTGGGTTATATTTTTCTCTCTCTCCTTCTCCACTTTAGCCGGCCATGCATAGAAAAATATAGCCAAAATTTAGCTAGTTGAGTGTGCTAGAAGGTTACAAGTTAAGGTGTGATGTGATGGTGGTGGTTGAAGGGGAAATCATGGCATATTTGCTTCAATTTTTCTCCACCTAGAACCGGCCATGATTTAGGGGAATTGAACCAAAATTTGGTTGATTGAGGGAGTTGAGGTGGTGTTAAAAAAATTTTTTCAAGTTGCCTATAAAGAGAACCATCATAGGATAAGCCTCATTTTTTCTCCTCTCCTTTTTTCCCACACTAAAATCTGGCTATACCACACTCCTCCATTCTCTCTCAAATATTTTCTCCCACTCTCCCAATCGTGAGCCACTAGCAAACCATAGAAGAAGAAGAAGAAGAAGAAGAAGAAGAAGAAGAAGAAGAAGAAGAAAAAGAAGAAGAAGGAAATCAAAGGGTCTAGGAGGAGACTAGTCAAGCATTCCCCCAAGGATAAAGAAACTCTAAACCCTCTCTTTTTATGTTCTAGTGAAGTTTGAGATGTACAACTATTCTTCTCAAATTTTCTTATACTCCTTTAGTTCCAAGCCATTAACAAACCTTAGAGGAAGAAGAAGGTGATCAAAGGATCCTAGGAGGAGCCTAACCAATGACTTTCTTCAAGGGTATAAATTCTAAAACCTTACTCTCTATTTTCCATTCTAGGAAAGTTTAAGTTTGAGAATCCATTGATGTAAATTTGTGATTCTCAAGGAAATAAGTTGTAATAAGGGTGTGTGAGTTTTATGTTGGTTTTGTGAGTTTGAGGTTAGTTTGATTAGCAATATATGGTATGTTCATGTTTGGTTGAAGTTGCTTATTTTCGGCTGGAGGAAAAAATTTTCCAGCTACTTTGAACGTGAAAATGAGGACCCTCGAGCGAGATTTTTCAATGTTTCAAAGCTTGAACTTATAGCCCTCGATGTTTTAAACATTTTCGGTTACTATGACAAAACTTAATTTAAACTCTAAAAGCAAGTTTGTAGCCATTTTACAAAAAAACGGACAGGCTGTCTAACACAGTTTCAAAAGAAAAATTTTTGCTACAGCATTACTATAGCATCCGCAGCATTTTAAAAGATTGCTGCAGCATTTCCTACAGCAAAAAGAAAAAAAAAATAGCAGCCACTATTTTAAGCCAAACGAGGCCTTTAGAGGCTGAATTTCAACTTTCACCGAAAACGATAATTTTAGATCTCGACAAGACGAAGAATTGTTGCGAAGAACACATTTTCGAAATCCAAATCTATGATTAAGTAAAATGCAGATTTTAGAAACTGCAAAGTTGTAACGAAATAAAACTAACACAGTGTTGGTTTTAACAAAAGTTATCAAACCCGAGATGTGATTTCAGTAAAATACTATAGTGTTAAACCTCATTTTAATGGAAGTCTTCGTAAAGAAAGTTTTCAAGAATAAATGCTTTCTTTTAAGGAACTTAGTGGTTTATCGAGCAAACCATCCCGACGGGCACCTACTAGCCAATACGATAGGTCCTTAGAATTTTGAAGGTTTGATGTGGGTCCAACGCCTGCATTAATTTAAGAGACTCTGTTAGAGTATAAATTTCAGCGGCCTAAGAGTTAGAATGCCATGTATAAGCTCTAGGCCGAATTGGGCCTTAATATCATAATAAGCCCAATGAGGAAAATTATGGAGAATAAGTTACTAGATTGGGTAAATGATTTTCAATCTAGACATAAGTATTTTAAGGGCAATTAAGGAAAATAAGATTTTAAGGATTTAATAAATTGATCCTTATAGTAAATTATCCTTCAATAAAGGAAAGGAATACATGCCTCATGTAAAGGGCTAGATTTCCTTCATAAGTTGCTAAAATAGAATAGCAAACGACAGATAATCTCACACTCTTAATGAGTGTTCATTTTCAGAAGTAAGCAAGTAAGAGAATAGGTTGTTTGGTGAAGAGTGGATTCCAGCTCTGTAAATTAGGTAAGTAGGAATCTCGCTTACAGCATGAATATATTTTAAAGAAAAAAATTACACATGTTATATATATACATGTTTATGTTTTAAGTATTGTATGCGATGTCATGTCATACTGCATACACCTTAATAAGTCAAGAGGAACTTATAAGAATAATCTCAGTTCAGTTCCGTACCAGCCTCCGCAAGGGAGGTAACTCAAGCTCCGCAAGGGAGAAAAGAAAAAAATAATAATAATGTCATCCGACTCAAGGGAGGCATTCAAGTTATAATCACGATGTCGTGGGGGACCTTGCAAACCCTCACATCCCGATGATTGTACACAAGTAGTACACGAGCACTCGGGCCCACAAGAAAGAAAGAAAAGATAAGATAAGATAAAATAAGATAATAAGACTATGATAAGACATCATAATTAAGCATAATCAGCTCATGCATATTTATTCATATGTACTTAAAGTTATTTTGGGAGAGATAGTTCCTACTTGCTGAGCGAAAGCTCAATCAGATACGTTCATGCTGTAGGTAAGAAACCTATCAACAATTCTTGAAGGGCAATGGCGAGCGGCGGACGAATGGTGGAGATGGGAATGGATACCGCTAACATTCAAATCTGCCGCAATAAGTTAAGTAAAATCATGTATATGTTTATATGATTCAAAGGTTTCAAGCATGTATGTTTAAAAACTATATGTACATATGTAAGATAAGGAAACCGAGGTTGTAGCTAACAAGACTAATTTTGAGTATTTAAGTTTTAGAACGTTGCAACAGTGCATGCAACAAATAAACGAATTTTAAACATGACGATTTAAATGATTAATTTTAAAAAGACTTTAAGATGTACTTGAATTTAAGATTTCTCACGAAATCCGTTTTAAAGTCAAATTAAATGGCCTGATTGAATTGACTAGTTTTAGAAAGGCTTTAAAAGAGCATTTGAAACAAGAGTTCAAACGTTGCTCCGTTTAAAGGATATTTCTAAAGAGTTTTACCTTAATTGAAATTAAGAAAAGCTTTAAGAAATTTAGTGATTTATTCTTTTAAAATTATTGTTACGAATTATGAAATTATTCATTCTTATAAAAAAAATGTTCTGTAAATTTTAAGAAAACCTAAATAAGTACAAGTTAATTTAAGCTACGGTGACGGCCACCCAGTAGGGTCGTCACATTTTAGAACAATGTAACATTTCTATCCATTGTCGTTTTCCCAATTGTTGTTGTTTCCATGTTATTGTTGTTTTACTCTCCGTTTATTTCACTAATTTGAGTTTTACTATAATAAAAAATTTAAAAAAACATTCACATTTAATTTTTTTATTACAGTAAAAAACTCTTATATGAAATCACATCTCAACTCAAACTAAAATACCTTTAAAAGTGATATAGTCGTTCAACCCCCATGTCAGCTTTCAAATAATTATCGTTTAACCATATTATTGTCGTTTGGAAAATGATTGTCGTTTTCTCATCCAACAACTACAAAACAAAAACATACCAAAAACATATAGACCGTTTGCCCCATAGTCGACGAACAAACACCATCATAGATCTCCATTTTTACAATCACAAGAAACACACTAATTTGCGAGCAAAAGGGTTTACCACTTTTTATCTATTTCCCAAACTGCCCCTCCAATGTCCGCCGGCGACTCCACCACCAACCCCACCGGCTTCGCCACCCGGCTGAAGGAATCCGTCCAATCAGCAATCTCCACGCGCCGCCCCTGGTCGGTGCTCCTGGACCCCACATCCCTAAGCCTCCCCTCCTCCATCTCCGACGCCACGACCCGCCTCTTCCAGAACCTGACCCACTTCCGCTTCAACTACTCCCTCCTCCTCCTCTTCATCTTCTTCCTCGGACTTCTCATCTCCCGCCCGATCTCCAACATCCTCGTCTTCCTCGTACTCCTCGCCGCCTGGTTCTTCCTCTTCTTCTCCCGCGACGAGCCCCTCTCTGTGGCCAGCTTCGTCGTCGAGGACGGCGTCGCTTTGACGGCGCTGGGCATCGCCACTCTCGTGGCCGTGGTGGTCACCGGCGTGGGGTGGAACGTCGTCGTTTGGGTGTTGGTCGGGTTTTTTGTTGTGTCCTTGCACGCGGTGGTTAGGAGTACGGACGATCTGGTTACGGACGACCGGCAGTCGCCTTATGGGCCGCTGATGTCTGATGATCATGATCCGCAGGGCACCTACACCATTATTTGATGTTTCCGAGGTGGGTTTTTTTTATTGTTTTCTTTTCTGGGTATTCTTGAATTTGTTAGCTTTATATTGATCTGATTGCTTATGAATTGATTTTGAATTTTTCATTTTGCTGGACAAAGATTCAAAATTTTCATTCTTCTAGTTTGTTGTAGGCTGGTAAGTAAATTACAAACTGCAGTCCAATTGGGGTTGTTTTGCTTTTGGGGTAGTAAATTGGCATCACAAGTTAGGTTTTTTTTTTTTTTTTGGGTTAATGAAAGTAGTAGTAAATGATATTATAATCATTTTTAATTTACGTGTATTTTTTGTGAGAGAAAATACTGTAACGAACCATGAATCATGATTCAAATTATGGTATGAATCTTATTATTGTGATACAGTACAATTGGCTATTTCAACTTGTTTGTTCCTGACTAATGGGATTTAGTACTGTGTTTTGGGTCATGGGCAGTTAAAAGGATATTTATATTCCAATTCTAAAGGGTCAAGCCTTTTCCTTTCAAGTTTCATTCATTTGAGAAAGAAAGAAAAAGTGCGTTTAGAATTGGTTTTTAATAAAAATTAAACAAATGACAGTGAGGCCTATATGCGTTTAGAAAAAAAGTGTTATCTGAGGCTGTGAACATCCCTTTTGTTTGCATTACCGCTTTCTATTAAGCAAATGACAGTCTGCTTGTTTGATTTAACAATCATCATATAAAGCTCTGCTTATACGCATGTTATTTTAGAATTAAATTTTTAGTTCACGAACTATAGGCCAAAACCCATTTTGGTCCCTGATTTTTAGAATGCCCTAGAACTCGTTCTCGACTAAAATCTCCACAAGAAAAGGTACGTGAAGACTATATGCAGTTTAGTGGGAATTAATTTTGCATTTTACATGTTAGGCCACGATTTTAGGAAGGAGCCGTGCCTTTAACTTTTGAGATTTAACTATCAGTTGGATAAAATGACTTATTTGGAACAATTTGGTAGTTTAGAAACTCGTTGTGGAATGAATGTTTTAAAAGTCGAGGACTAAAATGAGTTTAACCCTTGGCTTTTCTTATACATTTGTCCTTTTCGAACTTAACTGTGATTTTTGTAGTGATTGTTCATGATTTTATTTATTATTTTTTTAGGTGCTCATTCTGTTTCAAAGGCAACACCTTTGTGAAGAGTCTGTAATTGTGATTCAAGCCATTGCAACTGTGGTCTCAACATCCAACTTTCTTGTCCTTTCGAACATGTCCTTAGGCCTTTTCGACGGAGTTATCAGCGTTTGACATTTTCTTTTCACGGTGAACTCTGGAGTGAGCTGGGGAAAAATCTTGAAAATGATTGCACTTTTTTCATGGATCTCGTATATTTCTGCTAATTCCACAGCAGTCATTTGTCTCTCAATTTATTTCCGGTACTGGGATTTTCCCTTTGAAGTATTAGCGTAGAATTAGCAACTTCATGTTTTTGTTTTTGTTTTTGTTTTTGTGCACATCATGTACAGACATTAATTTCTACGGCTAATTCAGGCTGCTATTTTAAAAAGTCCTCTATTTTTACCTCTCTTGATGTCTCGCTGCTCTGATAGACGTGATAACACTAGACAAAGCAATTTGTCTCTATAAGTCAATATTACAAGTCAATGCGAGAGAAATTATGTGCTGTTTTTGAAAGTGAAGCCATTTCTGTTCATCAATTTGATCCTTTGAAATAGCTTTCTACACTTGATATTCCTATCCCGGTTCAACTTTTCCTTTTAGAACAGTTTTATTTTTAACCGTGAAATCTTTGTCATGCTCCATTAGATTTGCATACTTTTTTTATTATTATGATATGATTTCGATTTGTTTGATGTAAAAAAAGCAATACTGCCAGAGAAAATCTAATATAACTCAGTACTAATATGTTTAAATTAATAGTTGCTCTCTCGCGAAAAAAAAAAAAAAAAAAAAAAAAAAAAAAACTGCCCCCCCCCAAAAAAAAAAAAAAAAAAAAAAAAAAAACTATGCAAGCAACGTTAACACCACTCGATATGCATTTTCGGAAAAATATGCATGAGAGGGTCGCAACTAATAACAAATGAAAATGCTGCTCCGGAGATCAGTGATGCTATTCAAGACCCGGTGTGACTCTTGACAGAGATGTAACTTTTGGAATTGCTAAAACGTGTTCATGCGGAGCTTTTTCTACCATAAGACAGAACCATCACAAAATCCTTGCCTGAGCTGCCGGCCGATGTCTGTATCCTATCCGACGACGGCGCTGTCCGTATCCACAAGTCCACTAAGTTGTGTAGTTTGAATGTCGAATTCACCGGCTGACCACGCAGTGAAATCTCTACCTGTAAAGAACATCGTAAAAGAAGAGAACTGGTGTTCATTGTCATTTCTTTTGTATGGTTGATAAAGATATGGAACAAGAATTTGAGTCTTAACGTTTTATTGATGATAAAGTAATAATTGTCTTGAGAAATAATGCAATATTGTCATTTGTTTTGAGACATATAGACATAGTACTATGTAAACAAGGGGTCAGAGATGAAGTTACCTCAGCCTCGCTAGCAAGACCCAGTTTTCTCGCCAGGTATTTTTTTACCAAAGAAACAGGTAAACTACCATCCCTGAAACAATTAAGTATATATGGTTACCAGCTGTGGAAAAAAGAAGCTCCTACTGCGCCAAAGATTAATTTCCGAGTAAGGCCGGTATATACATCTCATTTTTTAGATGTACGTCCAGTCTAAATCTCAGTCATTAAATGAAGTTTAAAAATAATCTCAACTTTTTTCATTTGTTATCAAGTGACAACTGACAACTTTTCTTTTACACAGCTCATATCGTGTTTTTTTTTTTTTTTTTTTTTTTCTTTTCATCATTCGGTGGCTGAAAAATGAGATACATTGTAGTTCTACCAGTAATTTCCAATAAAAAAAAATGTGCTTATACAAATATATAGCAAAGCCACTAAAGGCAAATAGAAATAAACTCATATTTTTTGCATCACACAGCATGACCACATAGTATCAAACAAATTTAACCTAGTTACTTCGTCTTAAATTTTTTTTCCTTTTTTTTTTTTATTTACATTTTTCATCTGAAATGTATGTCATATGCAAGCATGGACACAAATACATGTGATGAAATGGAAAGAAATAAGCCTAGAAGTTGTCTTAATTTGGCAAGATATAGAGTTAACGGTAAAAAACTTACTTAACCCTCAAGTAGCATGAGGGTATCTGCTGCAATGGTGCATTCCCTTGCCTGAAACAAACAAAAGACTAGAAAAATCAAGTACTTGAAAAAGAATAAACGGATTTCGAACAAGACTGCCAAAGGAAAAAGATTCTCACTGTTCATTGGAAGCAATTAGAGAGAACCAAATTGGTCCAAATCTTCTGCCAAATTCACTATTTGCAACCTCCATACTTCGTGCTGGAACATTAAATCCACCCGAGGTAGCCGCCCTTCTTTGTCGAAGTGTCTTTCTGCGCTTCACCGAGCCAGAAGGCTCAAGAGTCTCGTCGCTTCCGCTACCATGGACTCTCGACCTCTTCCCTTGTTTCTTAACTCTTACTTTAGGCTCATAAACTTCACTGTTAAGGCCAACAGACTCAACCATAGTCTCTTGTAGATTGGCCTTTTTCGCCTTTGTTTTGCTTGGAGCCTCAACCATAGTTTTCAAGGGTTTCCACATATCAGATTTCCCTTCAAATGGTTTGGCATTATCCTCTACATTATCTTTTTGAATTTGTTGCTTATATGACTCATTTCTAGAAGTCTGCAACACAATAATTTGAACATGTTATTAAGAATAAAATGCATTAAATTAAAAGGCTAAATTGATTCTCCTTTTATATGTCAGTTTCACCTCTTCTTCTGCCTGCTTTCCATTGGCTGCAATTTTGAGTATCTTCTCCAGACATTCATCTGCCTTTTTAACAGGCTTGTGATCAAGATGAGCGGATTCTGATCGAACGAGATTTTTTCTTGTGGGGTTTTTTCTTCTTGCAGTAAAACAACTTTCGGGTCTTGCTCTAGGGGCATTGACAACCAAGGAAGAAAGAGATCTCTCCTTTCTTTTAGCTTGAAATGGAGCTGAGGGCACAGCATGAGACGCATTGCCGGTTTTGGTCTCGAAAGGGAAGATTTTGGCTCTTAGATCTTGCAAATTGTGATCAACCCTGCAGACCAAAAGAAGTTGAAGAAGCGCTAAAGAAAAAAATAAACATGCATTTTTCTTCTTTTTCAACAATGTAACATCATCTTAAGTCTTCCTAAAGTTTATAAAATGTGCAAGGACAGAGAAAATCCCCTGCTTTGTAGGATAATGTCATATATATATATATATATATATATATATTAATTTATCTTGTTTTCTGCAGAATAAGAACAATCCCGCATAAATTTGGGATTCATGTTTTACACTGGGGGGAAAAAAAAAAGAAGCACATAAACATTCAATGTGGGGGGGGAAAAAAAAAAAAAATATATATATATATATATATGCGCTGAGAAGAGTGATTATATTTGACTACCTGAGTTTATCAAGTGGAACACAGCCTAAATGTGTATTGCATACTGGACAGTGATCCAACTCTTCATCTGCTATCTTCTCATAAATGCACTTCCTGCAAACTATTTTTCTCGAGAGTAAAAGTTACCAATTAGATTAGTGGATAAAAGTATTCAAAAATGTGCAACTCATTCAGCATGAAAGAATATGCCTCATTCGAGTAAAAAATTTTAATTAAAAAGTAAATTCATATAAGAGAAAATACTATAATAGAAAAAGTTAAATTTAAATTTTTGCAAGAAAACGTTTGAGTAAAAACCTGAGTTATGATTCAAACTAACGAAAACGTTTGAGTAAAAACCTGAGTTATGATTCGAACTAACGAAACGAACGGGATCATAAACTATCGTACAAAATCAAAAAAGGATTATAGATATAAATATGTAAGTCATACAAAATTTGGATGTAAACAAGCGATTTGTGAAACAACAGGGAATGAAAGGCAGAAAACTTTTATCAGAATGAAGAAAGAAGCTGAATTCCATGCTTACTTCCTAAACGCAACTTCCAAAAGCTAGTAAATTCCAATATTTTATTCCTTGCAATGTAATAACACAGAGAAAATTAATAATAATTTTCCCAAGCTAGTAGAGATTTTATGCGACTCAATACAAACAGAAATTTGTCAAACAAAAAATAATAATGATGGTGATTTTTCCAATTATTGGTTTAAAGAATGTATACAGTTACTGTTCACATCGGAGACTATAATATTTAAGTGAACCCAGAAAAAAAAATCATTACTTTTTTTTTTTTTTTTTGCCATAAGTAGACTAAAACTTATCAAGCAGAGTAGGGTTTTTCTTTTCTTTTCCATAATACATTCAAGAATAACCAAATTAGCTCGCCGTTTTCCCTTTTTCCGAAGACATTCTCCATCAAGATTCCTATCAACGTGAAGTCTGTCTTTCTTTATTTTTTAAAGGCTAAGATCCCGTTCATTTCGTCGATTTGAGTTTAGAATTCGAGTTTTGCTACAGTAAAATGCTCTCAGAAACATTCACATTTAACTTTTTTGCTACAGTAAAAAGCTCTCACACAAAATCACATCTCAACTCGAATTATAAACTCGAATCAGTAAAATAAACGGATATTACTCACAAATAACAACACTAAAAAACTACGAAAAAAGAGACAAAAGCCTACACGCAAAGATATTAGTACAAGTTCAGATTAAAGAAAAACACACAGCTCGTCAAGAAACGTTAGAAGTGCTAAAGAAAAAAAACAACTACTATTTAAAATGATAAATTAAGGCATCGCTTGTTTTCACTTATTCCAGTTAAAAATTTAAAATTAAAAAATAAATTTATGTGAAAAAAATACTGCAATTAAAAACACTGAATTTGAATTTTTTTAAGAAAAATACTTTAACAAAAGCTTTGTCACTAACAAAATGAACTGAGCTTTAATTCCTTTAATCCCACTTAAAGGATAAAAATTAAGAGCTCGTTTAATTTATGGATTAGAATTATGAAATTAGAATTATTTTTAATTTACGTGTATTTTTTATGAGAGAAATACTATAACGAATCATGAACCATGATTCGAATCAGAGAACGAATCTTATATATCAGATCTAAACCAACGAGAAAGCAGATCAGAAGGATGAAAACTCACAGGTGTGAAGACATTCTGAAATAGTCGTGGCGTCGACGAAGAGCTTATCGCAAATCGAGCATGTCAAACACCCCAAAATCTTCTCCTTTCCCACCTTCACCACTTGGCTTTCATAACTACCACTCTTCCTCACCATCATCATCATCTTCTTGTTCTTCTTGTCTCTTCAAAAACAAAAAAACTCTCACACACAAGCACAACAAATAATTCACGAACCCAACTGTTGCTGCATGTTTCCAATACGCAAAGAGCCCACGAGATGGAGGATTTTGGGGTCGTGTTTGGCGGCCGAGAAAATGCGTTCAAAGGGTTAATTAATTTGTTCTGATCTTAAGCGGGTTATTGGCCATCGATAATATTATGTGATAATATCTGTTCGAGGCTATATATATATATATATATATATATATATATATATGTAAGAATATGTGTGTGTGTGTGTGTAGATATATAGGAAGAAATATTGCTCTAACTCTGGAAACGCGCGAACGCACAAATTAAAGAAACCATGAAAAGAACAACTAGTTTTACTGTGTTGTATTTATGTTTGTGTGTTACGAAAGTAAGGCAACAAATAAAGATGTGTATCATTATAACCTATATATATATGCACACACACACATTTTTTTTTTTTTCAAATTTGTTTTTTAGCGTAAGTTTCTCGTGTGTAACGCTTTTGCGACTCTGTTTTGAGAGTTTTTGTAGGTTTTCTTTCTTTACATTAGGGGGGTTACGACGCAGACGGTAACGTAAAAAAAGGAGGCCGGCGTATGTTAGCTAAGCCCACGTGAACGGCACGTGATACTCATGCTTGGTATAGATTGTAATGGGTGTTTGCTGGCAAAGTCAACTTCCCTGAGATTTTGCCAAGTGGGTTGTGAACTAAATGGACGGCTGTGCTTCTGCCTCATTTCGTGGTTTGTTTCTCTGGCTATTTTCCTTTGTAAGTATATAGTAAAAGCTTTCTATAAAATAAAAAATAAAAAAGGTTCGACGTAATAAGGTTGCCCATGCAATTTGTATGTGTTTGTTCAGTGAGAATAAACTACATAGACGGCCAAAGTTTTATATACCTATGTGCAATGTGAATATTTATTCTCATCCGATTGTTGTGAGTGAAATTGTACAAGAGAAAAACTGAATTGTGGGAAAGACTTTGTGATGTCCCATTTTAAAAAACCCTAAATGGAAAATGTAATGAGTCTGAATTTTTACCCTTTATATTTATTTAATATTTTTTTAGTCAAGTAATTATATTAATCAAAAGAATATTAATAAAAAATAAGTGATACAAATTCAGAGTCGTGCACTTTAAGAACAAGTTCAATAATTTTGCAAAACCAAAAATATTTCATTTGGTCTCAATATTAGATTTTAAACTGTGAAGGTTTTAATAAGGAGTTTATTGATATAATGCCCTTTCACTACTTAATTATGTCTTTTTTTCTGCAAGATATTGTCGTTTATCTCAAAGGTTGTAGCACTGCCAATGGCTTCTGGATAAGCTTTCCTCCGAAACGACAGGGCTTTTATACTTCAGGCCTCAGGGTTTTACCTCGGAAACTACAGGGCTTTTATACTTCAGAAAAACGACATGACATTGTACGTTAAAAATTGTCCATGTCGTTTCCCGAATCTGATATACACATGATTGTCGTTTTCCTTCAATACAAAAAGCTATGTCCACTTACATCTTGCCCATTTTTAAAGCTGTAATTTTTAGAGTCTACAACGAGATTAAACGCAAAAAACAGCCATAAAAGTTTATGCACACTGGACCTATCCAGTGTCACAGCAAGACGATACGTTAAAAATTGTCCATGTCGTTTCCCGAATCTGATATACACATGATTGTCGTTTTCCTTCAATACAAAAAGCTATGTCCACTTACATCTTGCCCATTTTTAAAGCTGTAATTTTTAGAGTCTACAACGAGATTAAACGCAAAAAACAGCCATAAAAGTTTATGCACACTGGACCTATCCAGTGTCACAGCAAGACGATCTATATAAAAAAAAAAAAAAAAAAAAAAAAAAAAAAAAAAAAAAAAAACAAAAACACAAAAGGGAAACGGGAAAA